GTCAGAACAAGCAAGCTATTTGGCTAGATAAACTTTATCTGTTTCTAAAACATAAATTAACATCTATACGAATATTCGTCAAGATTAGAACGAATAGCTTGACAGTAGTTGAGCGCCGAGTATAGAGAAGTCATTATATGTGAAAATTATATTTGAAATATTCTCAGCGAATGAAATTTAATTAATCCCAACATTTCGTCCAGCTAACTTGTCTGAACTCCTTCAGGGTAATAATCAAAATCAAAATTATCAAAGAAATATATAGCTTTTTAACAATCAGGATTATACTGTGTGAAACCAATCATATTCTGATGTTGATTTTTTTGTAAAATAGGATAAAATGAATCAGTTAACTATAAATCATGTGAAGAAATCAACTACATGGATATACTTAACTGAGTAACAAATCGTATGTGAGCATGTGTAGGAATGTATGTATGTGTGAGAGATTGATATGAAGGAATAAATAAAGTTCAAATTCAAGGATGAAAAATTGATAATGAAACATCGATGTACATGTCAAAACATAAATTGTATTGTTTTGACATATAATAAATTAACATCGTTAGTGTACAAACAAATAGTACGGTCTATTAATACAGGGAAAAACAGAGACAAATAACATACCGAACAGTAGCCAGAGAATAGGAAAAATGAGTCAACGAGCAAATATTGTTTTACAATGAACATCAAACTGTGATTGGTCGATAAAGAGATACAGTCATACAAGGTCAAAAGGAGTTAATGTGGTGGTGGGCGTTTCCATTTATTATTGGTGGGTTCGTCTATCGATCACATTTTACAGGTACTACTTCACCTATGCAGTCATCTTTTTGAATAATGATCACACCAGAGCCGTTGTCTAGTTGAAATGGCATAATTGTTTCGTCAGTCATATGTTTTCTCATGTCTCCTGATGGACAAAGCTTTGGATTGTGAGGTTGGCAGTGACGATATCAACTAACTTAGATTTTAAACAGCATTGTTTTTCATCATTCACAGGTTTTAACTCTTGTTGATACAAAAACACGAATTGATATTTTGTTAATAAAACCAGAACAAATATTGATGCAGAATATTATGAATTCATTATATGTCGTGGTTACTCGTCAGCAGCTTACAACCAAATATGTATTAGAATTTTACGTTGTGATAAGAAATGTATGGAACAATTGATATAAGTGAATGTAAAGGACTGGAATGATAAATGTTATCAATGAGAACTATATATATGTGCAAGAGAGACAGGAATAAAACTCCCATTACCGATTTCTTAAACCATCCTTTCACTCACACATTTCCTCTCACTTAATTCTCTTAAATTATGTGAACTCTTCGAATTCTATTCAATTATTACGTAACCCATCTTATCAGTTTTCAATTCCATGAATCCATTATTACCTCTATAATTATCAAACAATTTCTCTGATCTGTCTGTGAACTCCACTATTACACCATCCATCCTTAATATTTCTTCAATTCTAACACCTAATATATTATGCAAGAACAGGTCAGAGGTGTAATAGTGGAGTTCACAGACAGATCAGAGAAATTGTTTGATAATTATAGAGGTAATAATGGATTCATGGAATTGAAAACTGATAAGATGGGTTACGTAATAATTGAATAGAATTCGAAGAGTTCACATAATTTAAGAGAATTAAGTGAGAGGAAATGTGTGAGTGAAAGGATGGTTTAAGAAATCGGTAATGGGAGTTTTATTCCTGTCTCTCTTGCACATATATATAGTTCTCATTGATAACATTTATCATTCCAGTCCTTTACATTCACTTATATCAATTGTTCCATACATTTCTTATCACAACGTAAAATTCTAATACATATTTGGTTGTAAGCAGCTGACGAGTAACCACGAAATATAATGAATTCATAATATTCTGCATCCATGGTCATTCACAAAGGGGAACATTTGCATGAAATTTTTGATATTTTGTTCCGATTTTGTCACTTATTCATAGGTTATAAAATTTAGGTCTAAAGGAAAGTGCCTCTACTGCGATTCGACCTAGTAGTGTACCTGTTAAATTATACATGTACTTCTCAGGATTCCTCCTGTTTATCTAGTTAACATCACCGTTGAGTTAAGCAAACATATGCTAAGCATTTCCGAAACGGATTAAATTCGGTAAATGCTGGACAATATGAAGCCATTCTTTATCGAAATATACGGTTTGAGATTCTGTGGTATTTGTACAAACTAATGATTATTTTGTGCTTTATTGCTCGCTGATTACGAATTCCAAATGCAATACGTTCATTTGTGCTCATTTAGTTCTACTTGTCGTTAACTGAACTATTTGGGGAATTCTTAGTTAATTCGAGCAATTCTAATGATCATAGTTTCTTTTAGAGAATATCCCATATATATTCTTCCTGCTTACATGTTACTGAAGATACCGTTAAGAACAACCGAAGTTAACCAAAAGAGGTCTGTTATCTGAGTTATATTACCTAAGTAGGCTTCTATTTCGTTAGTAAAACTGACCTAATACTTATGAAAGCTCATTGCAATGCTGGGTGAAACCATGAAATAAAATAAAATAATACTCTTTTTCCTCAATGATGTTCTGGTTAAATTCAAATTTGTTAAGGGAACTAATTTTACATTAGTCTCGTGACAGTGAACGTCTAAGTTATTCACCACATTACCCCAATATGCAAATCAGTAACATTTGTCTTCAAATTTCAGTAAACTATGCCACTTTTTTGTATTAATTCAGTTCGACATTCCCTGTAGCATAACATCTCTTTTGTACAATACCCCCTGTACCATTTCAATGTGACCGTTGTTAACGAATAGTTAATGGAAGTAAACCCTTACATAGATGAGTGACTTCGTTAGTAATAGACGAAGAATTTCGTGTCTGAATCCAGAAGGCTGGTTCAGATTTGTCAAATTACGTCATTTGTGTCATAACCAACATGGCAGTTTATCAACTAAAACATGTGGATACCGTGCAGCGATTTATTATCTTTTACTATATGGCTATAAAACGAGGCCTTTGAGGAAAAAGGATATTCGCGAATTATATATGTTTGATCATATATGCCTTCATAGTATTCCTGATGCGCGTTGGGACTGTTGAATCACCAATACAAGGTTAAACACTGAGAACTAGATACGTTTGGCAAATCGGTTACTGAGGTTGGGAATGTTCATTGACTGAGTTAGCTGAGGAATGTTTTATGAATACTCAACGAACACCTATGAGGGATGTTTGATGGTCTAGGAGTATAATGAAAGATAGGTAGGGGCGGCCAAACCATCACGTGGCATCAGTCTGCAAAGTCAGTCACTGTTAGAGATCGAACCTTATTGGTAGGTGCAGATTTTCATGTTAGGTTCATCTCAACTATCGTAACCAATGGTTAGAGAAGTTGGCTGACACGACTCAGAATCGCTTACAAAAGCCAAAATACATTCATTTTTTAATATGGCCTTAGGTACTGACCGTCAAAATGATCTTTATACCTGTTATAACGCTCGGTTTTACTTCGTGTAATGTTATAACGTTTGGGTTCACACGTTTACACGTATGGAACGTTAATTTACCTTAAACGATTATCTACACTAGATTCCCTCCCAGTGTCTATTCTACAGGACTTCAACTCAACTCAGATCAAGAACACATGATTAGCCTGAGCACAACGTAAATATATTTCCACATCAAAACCCAACACAATCCAACAACAATGAACAATCAATATTAAGTGAGTGAGTAATAATAATAAGGATAGTGGAATATATAAAAAATGGAGTGTTTGTATGGCAAAACGAACATTCAACCTCTTTCTTTACCCGAAATATGACACTCAATGAAGGACACAAACAATTTATATTTACCTCTGTTATCAAAGATCTGTTTACATTCATTGAAAGCATTGAGTTTGTAATAGTGACACTATTTGTATGGTATCAGTTAGAAGGATTGGATTATGCTAAAACAGTCATTTTTTAATATTGAGAAAGTAGAGGAATACCGTATGAAGGGCTAGAAGCTCCCTGAACCTAACTTCCCACTTCATTAGAGAATTTACGATAGTCAGGAAGATATAACAAGAACTTCTATTATCTGAGTTGTGTAATGACTAATTTGTAACGACGGATGAATGTGTAAAGATAGTCCTTTATGAAATGATCAGGTTCATAAAGTTCGTTTTCAGAAAAATTGTTCTCTGAAACTGAACAATTTGTTTTCCTCTATCCGTTATCTACAACATAGTTTCTGTCCTATTGAAATTCGGGCCAAACTGTGTAAGTGACCAGTTGCAATCGTTTTTAACCATAATCATTAATGTATCTGCGTTGCTTGACCTCATAGTTCTCACTTTCACTCAGCATACTTCTAACTAGGCTTTCTCAAATCCAGACTTTTATTTTAGTTAACCCTGACAGTTCCTACGCTTAATAACTTGATATTTTTTAGGTTGAACTTGATGGTTTCCAATAAATTGGGCATGGAGTAGAAAGATAACAATAAATATGTTTTTGTTATATCCCGATGAGTAGAAAAATTGTATATCTGACATTTCGTGGCTTAATGTAAGCCACTTCTTCAGAGTAAATAAATAACTGAGTTAAATTAACACAAGTTTAGATAGGTATCATTACCAAGGTTTTACCTGATAATTCCAAATAAACTGACCATTGGGTAGATCCTTATCAATAAATAAATTTATTTGTAATATAATATATTCTTGTTGTTCCGTCGTACTATTTAAACTTGAATTAATTTTGATTTAGTTATTTATTCTCTGGAGAAGTGGCCTACACTGAGTCACGAAACGTCAGAAAATCTGATTTTTCTACTCATTGGGATATTACAAATATCACTAGTTGAGATCATGAGTCAACTGAAGCTAGACCACCATGGAAAACCTGGAAGCACTGATATCGACTATTGAAATCACTACAATCTCCACTAAACCCCTTCTGATATTACAAATATATTAATTTATTTAAAAGTTTAAATAATACAGGGAAAACAATGCAAAATATTTTTGGTACAATCAAAATCATAATAGGTCTGAATATGTAAATGTCAAGGTGAATTTATATGACCTGTCACTGTAACAATTTGTGTATCAGAGTCTGGGTATGAAAAATGTATGCATTTGCAAAGTCAACTAGTGGGGTTGAAACTATGTGTGTGTGTGTATGTGTAAATTGTGTGAAAAAAATAAGGCCAGATGTGGTTGTCTGGTTAACCAGCCCGAATTGGATGAATATTCAGGCCTTCTTTCCTGCTGAGGGCAGAGGGATTTAGCTTCGGCTACTAGGCTTGCTCGGAAAAGCCTTTCTGAACTATTTTGGCATTTTAAGTATCAATTTGGTGATTATTGAATATAGCATGTACTGCTATTGCTATATTGGAGAGTTCCCGTAAGATCTCGATTAAAGCCAAGGAACATTTAAGTTACACAAAAAGACCTAATAATCCTGTAGAATTTAAAAAATTACAGATTAAGTAGTCCTTAGCAAGACCATTCATTTGTTTTTCGTTCGAATACCCAATATCCTGCGATAAATTGTCTCATATAATCTTCCTCCTCTGTTGATCTGTATGTTCGGTCATGGGAGCATGTATTAGTGATTTAACCAGACAATAGAACGAAACTATCCATCAATCACATTGACCTAGCATTCGGTAAATCATGACTTGAATACCATGCGCCATTCCTTTGTAGCTAAGGGTTTCATTATAAATATTTGTATTTAGAATGACTTTTACCAAGTTAGGTGAAGACATGCGCAGTTATTTAAATGAAGCTAGTGAGCTTCAAACTAGAAAGTTCCGCATACCACAAGTCCCTGTTTGAAGAATATCCTAGATAGAATTGACGGGACTGATACTTGTGTGTTTCCAAATGTGTTCAGTCTGACCCAAGACAAATGGCTATTGGAAGTCAGAAATCTTCAAATTCTTGTACTGTGAGTTAATTAGGATACAAAGGATAATAGGAAAGCCTTTTTTCCTTGTAAATAAGTCAGAACAACTAAGATGAACAAGGTGATTTCAAAGGCCTAGAGTAAACCATATTCATATGGAATACGTGATGTTCCATTGAGTAACTATTTATTGGAAAATATAGCTGAAAACGGTGTTTGATTCATTTGCCAGAAGACTAAACATAGAACTTTGCTATAATGGATGAAAATGGGCTTCTGATCTTTACTTTTTAGTGGTTCTATATTTGACTCCAGTTAAATCGTATGCTGATTGTTATCGAAATATACGTGCCGCCAACCGTCGTATGTCTTTATCGACTTAAGTAGCGTTAGAGAATAACGGAATAAAATAGGTCAAATACGAGAATGCATTTTGAATACGTATATTTCATACACTCATTGATCCAGGCAGACAATCTGAGAAACGAAATAGAGAAATCGAAGAGGAATGAAACGTTGTGACACGCACCAGAGGAGAGTCAGCCAACTTAATTTAATCAGGCGTGACTCGATATGTTTAGTCAGACAAAAATAGGTTACAGATATGCGGTGAGTAGGTTATGGGATTAACACACACGCTAATATAGAAACAGTCAAGGTTAATAAGCGAATAATTGACAAGGCCAAGATGTGACTTCAGAGGAATGAATAAATGGTCTGTCCGGAAGCTAGAATAACCTATATATATATATATATATATATATATATATATATATATATATATATATATATATATATATATATATATGTATATATATATATATATATATATGTCATCGAATCAATTAAGCAACTAATAGTAAGGCTAGCAGAGCGAATATATGCGTAGGCAGTAAGCAGTGCTCAGGAATACATATTCATACAAGTTTACGGTAATAAAGGTATAATGATATAGATAAGCTGTTATTGTACGAATGACTCTGTCCCTTAAATAAGTTAACAAAAGGGCTTAACCAATTTAAATATGAACAAACTCAATTTCACGTGAGCTGCTATAATGGTAATTCATTTGCGTTTCGATGATCTACTCCGATTCATACAGTTAAGTCAACACAAAACATACAACGTTTGCCTTACCAAAAGGAAATGTATAGCGTTAACAGATGAGGTTAAATATCTGAGTTCATTTGGAAACGGAAACCAATTATTGCCAACTCAGTGGTCTTAATTCTAAGAACTTACTGAAATACATTGCGGTCCTGGGTTCGATTTTTGGTAAATTCATGGATATACGCTACCAAAAAACCCAGATACAAACAACAACTCAATGACTTGTTTTTAACTAATGTCATTCAGTGATATAAATTGTAAATTAAGCAGTTGTGGCAATGATGGGAAATATCTGTAGATTAAGATGAAAAGGTTGTTGTGTTTTTGAATTGGTTGGTGTACGTGTGAGACTTTCATTATTTTCTAGATATCATCACATATCTTCTATACTACCAAGATCTTTATCATAAACAATCTAAAGATTTTCATCTACCTTTGAAAAATATCGTTTATTTACCGAATACATATTACTATAATTCAATGTCATTTAGTGTTTACACGAAATTACTTGTCGTTAGAATATTGCTAATATTGATTTGAGAAACAAATTTCAGTCGATCCTAATTATTGCATCATGGGATTACATTAATACATAGGTATTAATCTGTTAATCAAATTATCATTGTAAAAAGGTGGGGGTTGGAAAGTATAGATATTCTTTGAAATGAAGTTGGTTGTTACCACAATATACAATATGTAGTAGGATGTTATCACAAGAACTGATTATTTTTATGACATTGTTAAACAAAAATAATTGATTACGAAAACTTAATAAATTGACTAGTTATGTAAGAAAGGGTTGTGATAATTGGGACACTTTACCAGATGACAATGTTTAATGATGGTTGATAAGAGGTTAGTGAAATTGTCAATTGTTATCGATTAGGTAAGAATAAATGATGAGATTGGTAAAATAAGTTATTAAATTAAACAACACATTTGATTAATTAAATATTCAGGGTAAAAAGATGGCATGAATAAACTTCTTGTTTGGAATAATTAGTCTAATTTTCGTTGCACTGTGGAAAATCAGTTATCGAGGTATGTGCTAGTTCAAATAGAAAATATCTAGCTTGGTAAAGTGACTCACAATCAACCAGATATCCAATGCTTATTGGAGGTGAAAAAGATACAATAATCATTCATTTAGAGTTACAAATAAATTACACTTGGAATACTAATTTGCTCAAATATTGGTCTTTTAATTAGAACTGTCAGCTTATCTTGACAGGGCTTAAAGTTTAAGAATCGGGCAATAGTTAGTCTTGTTTATACAAGTGGATCAATAACAAAGCGATGTGTATTCGTATTACCTTGTGGTTATACTTACATAGGAGGATTTACATGTTGCTATGCTTGTTAAAGAACCACGATAGCCGAATATAATCGTAGTTGATTGGTTAGTTTTATCGATTGAAACAATTACGTTAAAATACTAATCATCATTGATATAAAGCAGCGAATGTTTATTGTAACTGATGAACTCAGGCGACGAATGAAATGAAAAAGAATAAGTATAGAATGTAATAATAGAAATTATAATAATAAGTTCGAAGTCTTGCTCATCAGTTTAGATCACTGACGTAGATGATCTGCATCGAATGATTGGGGGAATACTCGAGTTAAACGTGAAAGGTGTGACGAACCAGCTAACCTCAAAGTCACACCTCGCGATCAGCACCTAACGTCGACTAGCCTTTCGTCGTATCCGGCTACTATGACTGCTTTGAATACCGTACAACACAAAGGACCTTATTACAGAAATATATTAGTAAGAGTAGGTACAAGGAAGAGAGTGCAACCATCATCGCGTGGGCCAGTCTATGGTGTGCGATTACTTGATGCGCGTTGTTTGTCCTTACACTTGGCGGGGTTTGGTGAACTGTTCGACATTCAGTGACCCGACTGTCGTACGATCTGTCTAGGGCCCAGTATAATAAGTGTACAGACACATACATAGGTATACATGAGATTCATACACGCAGAATATCAAACATATCAATGAGTTATATGATGTACTGTGGGTCATAACTTTTTTATGGGAAGAATAGAGTTATTAGGATAATAAAAATAACTGAGTCGTCACATGCTATGTAGGTTACTCAAGTTTCCTCCAAAGCTTGCATGAATCATACGTGTGATAATCCTGCGTGCTACAATTATATGCTGGTGAATGACCGGATTAATATTTTAATATTCTTTAACATTATCAACACCTTTGTGTAGATTCTTTTAAATAGCTGAATATTTTTTATTGAAATATCGACGAATACGTTAATTGTAGTAACATATTTAAGATATCGTCTACTATTAGATATGAAATCATTTTTTTTAATTATCAGACGATGGGATTTGATTAGTTCTAACATTTTGTTTTTCAATCTGATCTGTGTTTCTTTGAGAAAGCAATGAATGAATAATAGTTACGACTAATTTAGCATCGAACAATGCTCTATTTATGTACACAAATCTGCTATTATCAAATTACAATGAACAGGTGACGCCTTAGGATATAACCTAGGTCATATTAGTCATTGAGATTAATATAAAGATTGCGTAGAAAAAAACTACACTTAACAACGTATATTTTGATCAGATTTTTTGTTGTGTGCACTAATAATAAGTCTATACATACCCAGACATAACAATCGTGTAAACAATAAAAAGTATGTTGTCATAGACATTAATACTACTCTTGGTATAAAAGGGTGAGGGGGGTTAAGACAAATAATTAAACGATGGTACACCATTTCATCTTATAAGCTTGTTAGGAAAATGCCCATTCATGTCGAGTTAGTTCATTTAATGGAATTTGTAAATACTTACATACTTCCAAATTAGATGATTTACATTCTTACAGTAAGATATCGACAATCAAACAGTTGTCTAGCACAGAAATCTACCCGACTTAATTCATTGTATTTTTCCAGAAGATTCCCGAACGAGATAGCTGCCAGGAGAAACACTAGAACTACCTAATTTCAATTCTTAAGGACCTTAGAAACTCAATTGTATATCTAGCATACTGATTATCTTAACACTATAGTTAAATGACTAACTTTTGAGGTGAGATTGGTAACCATAAGTCACACTAGTTCACATAGTCTACATGTACTTTCTCTAATTCCAATAGTATATCTCAACATTAAGGGAATATTTTATTATCATACACTTAATGAGACTTGGTGAATACTCTCATCCCCATTTCTATTTTAACACATATATATTGGTGAAAGGAGGCACCAAATACATATGCGCCACACAAATCTCACTTGATTTCTGTGAGGGCTGTGATACTGCCTGGGTGCCCAGACCGAAGCAGGTGGTTTTCTTAGGGGGCCACACCCCGAGCCTTTGACCTAGAGGTCAAGGCAGTGGAGCATCGTAAGGAGATGCATTCTCATGGTAGCCGATGACCAACGATTGGTTAATACGCCATTTTTCCCGCAGGATACTGGAGCCCATGTGCACCACTGGTCTGGAATCCGGTTATTCACCCTCTTTTATACTTATACAGCGGCTCGTCTTTGGTGGAAATCCGACTGTATCTAAACGTTCTCGAGTCACTGTCCGGTTGAAAGTTGTATGTTACCATCGAATATGAGTACTGAAGCAGTTTTTCTGAAACCACGTGCGCCATTCAAACTGGCTGCCTTCAACGTTCGCACACTTATGCAGGTTGGACAACAGATAGGGGAGGCTATGTCTTTGGAAAGTCTTAATATCGATGTCTGCTGTCTATCCGAGACCCGTATTCAACACTCCAATGAAGTACTGCTAATTCGCTCTTCATCTGTTGCTTCGAAAAGCTTGGTTTACGTGCGCTTATCCGGGGACCCTGTGGCATCTTCGTCTGGTCTTGCTGGCGTTGGTGTCGCACTAAGCGCTAGAGCTGAGGCAGCACTAATCGACTGCATCCCCACTAACAGTCGGTTGGTTATATGCTGTTAGATTAGAGAGTTCCATCAAAGTGAGAAACGATGTCTTTTCGTCATCTCCACCTATGCTCCGACAGACTGCAGCCCGGATCCAATCAAGGATGAGTTTTACCACCAGTTATCTGTTCTTCTCTAGAAAGTGCGTCCAACAGATATTGTAGTACTAGCCGGAGACTTGAATGCTCAGGTCGGGTGTCTAGGCACAGAAGAGAGTCGTTTAGGTGGCCGATGGGGACTTTTTGGTCGCAGGACAGATAACGGGGACTGTCTACTGCAACTATGCACAGACCACAACCCGTTTCTGGCCAGCACTAACTTTCGGCACAGTCATCGCCAATGTGCCTCCTGGCGTCCCACTTCTGCATCTCAAGCCTGGACTCAGATTGATCACATCGCGACCAGCTACCGCTGGCGTGGTTGTGTACAAGA